TTGGTAACATATATGCTGTATTTCATATTATTTATTTAATCACGTATTACTGAAGTAGCGCTTTCATATCAGTTTTTCATGTTTTGGCCTGTCAGAACATGTCTCTTACTATTGTTGTTTTCAACAAGGGAGATGTCTAATCTGAAAAATGGCATTATAATTGTAATCTACAAATTTCTAATTATCATGGAAATCCACATGAAAGAAGTGAAGCTGAGTGGATAGTTAACCAAAGATGTCGTATTTCCAGAAACTTTGAGAAAGCTTTTTAAAAAAATATGTTTTTCTTTGGGGAAAGGGACATTTGAAAAGGAAATGTCCCTTTCTATAACTACACTGCAAAGAACTACAATTCTCTGTGGAATAGTTACTTGCTTACCTGAATTTCTTTCCCAATTCTAGTGAAAAGAAAGAATTCATATATCAACCCTGCCATTTCTTCTATTTCCTATAGTTTGAGCACCCGGTACCCTAGAGCTTCTACTGCACAATCAGGACAAAATTCTTCAGACAAACAAAAATGACTTTAAAATGCCACAAGTGTTACAGTCAGTAATCAAATGGCCACATGCTGGTGTTATCAGTTTGTTTTACTTCCCAAAATAATTTTAAAAAAAAGTGTAACAAAACTGAGTTTCTATATGGTGCATTAGGAATTTACTATGCCAAGTCAAGCCCTCTTTAACAGCAGTTCACTGATACGAATGTAACTTCTTGGAGAAACAGAGCCAGTGACTAGCTTAAAAATCATGGTTTTTTTCTGAAATCTGACCCTGACTCAACAACTCAGAATTTTCTTCTCAGACCCAGGTCATCGCCCTCTGTTTAAAGCGCAAGCAGCATACCCTCAGTCAAGGTGAATTATCAGCAGCCATTTAAGGGTTACTACCATAAAAAAATAAAGAGGTTTTTTTACACTTTTGAGAACTGTAGAATAAATATTTACTATAAAAATACCAAAGAAGATGACACAAGCAACAGTCTCAGTTTACTGAAAAAACAAAACCATTTTTAGTATCTCAAAGTGAAGACGGGTTTGGCACTGATAGCTTTATGCAAGAGAGATGATTTTAGGACACAGTGAGTAGCAAGTGCCTTTCTTTCCAAAGATGCTTTTTGTCTCAGTGTTATCCATTTTATTTGTCAGTTGAGACAGTGGTTACAGTGTTCATATATTTTCATTGACTAGAAAGTGACTCGTCACATGCAACCCTCAAAGCCCATTAATTTTGTTCCTCGGGAACTCAGCCTTTATAGTTTTCTAACAGTGAGTAATCATATAGTAGAGGAGAGTGTTTTCTTACTGGCTCCCCTTCCTCTATCTTTCCCCCAGACACCACACACATACTCCCTTCTTTGACCAACTCTCAAGAGAAAGTACAGACAGTCTGGAGAACAAATCTTCCTTAATGCAGATTACATTCGCCTATAAACAGCTCAGCAACTGGTATATGACCTCCACCAAGACTGCTGCCTAATCTCTGGCAACAAAATAAACAAATCCAAGCCAGAAGCTCTGATAAGGGGATTTGCAAGAATCTGGGATCTTGGATACTGTAAATGGAAGGAAGAGCTTTTTCATGATTTTTGAAGAATCATGTACCTGGAGAAATTTTCCTTAATAATACTGATATTGTTGGTGTGTCGTCCCCCCTCCCCCCCCGGTCACTATTACAGAGAAATGTTTAAATTAAATCTTCTATGAAAATTCCCACACCCATCCCTGAGCTTCTCTAGAAAGCCCCTTCTAACATCGTATTTGTTCCTGTCTACAGGGGCCCTCAAAACTAAGGCATTAACTATTAGAAGTATTGAGATACCAAATTGTGTAGGAACTGAGAAAGAAGAAAAGCCAGGGAAGCTGCCTTTGAAGCTCCCTCAAATGTTCTCAAGATTTAAAAGGAAAGGTCTCACCAAAGAAAAATGTGATTTATAAAAACACCCTCACTTGCAGAACAGTTCAAGCACCACTTGACTGTGACACCTTCCTTCTTGTACATCAGAGGCCTGTAATGACAATAGAAGTTGTGTTCTTGTGGCTTTTGCTTCTCCCTTTAAAATGTCTCATACTTTAAGCAGACACCCCTTTGGCAGAACTGAGGATGGGGACCCATTGTCCCATCGCCATTTGCAAATGTCATCTTTTCTGATCCCATCCACAATTAGCACAAGCAGAGCAATGTACAGAAATCCAGACTGCTCCTTCTTTTGTAATATCCAAAGAATATGTTACTATTTGGGATAGACAAATCAGTCAAATATTGATCCAGAGCCTGCTGAAGTCACTGGAAGTCTGTGATTGCCAAAACTACCACTGACTTCAGTGTGTCTTGGAGCAAGCCCTTCATGGGCAGAGAACTTCCTGGGAAATGGCTTGCTTTATTGGAAATCAGAACTGATTAAATAACAGTCAAACACAACCAGCTACCTGGACCTCCCTCCACAAAAGCTTTGTGGCTTTAGAGCCCTACCCTAACATGGAAAGAACATGGAAGACAAAGATCTTTACTTTTTATCTCATATGGCCCAACTAAATAGCAGTCAGCTTCTGCCTCTGCTTCTGTGGGCCTCCTGCACTCCACAGCTGCAGCAGCCAAACCTTGTTCCCTAGAAAAAATTAGACAATTATTCCTGGGAATATATTTCCCAGCAAGAATATTCATATCTCACTTCTCTCCAGTACTTCATCACCAAGATGAGCAGCTGCTGAAGGACTATCCAGATCTCAGTCCAATCTACTGTCATGTTCAATAGCTCATCACTCCGAAAGTTTCATGAATGCACATTTTCCAGATATATCTTTGGTCTGTGTTTCCTCTGGTAATCCCTGCCTGGAATCACAAATTCAAAAGTATGTATATATAAATCCCCTAGTTAGTTTAGAATAATTAGCAAAAAGATGTTTCTTGTTAAGGAAAAGTTGCCCTTTGGACTCTGAAGGGAGCTATTTGTCTGCGGTCCTCCAATACAGTCCTTCCAGCACAGCTGTCTCGGAAAGCAAGTGGTACCTGCACAGTGGAGGATGGAGGAATGAGATATTTTTGCAGGCTTCACTAGCACTGATTTGTACTGTTACATGTGGATGATCATGAGTTAGCCATCTGTGATGGGCACTATTTGGGCAAAGCATGCCTTTTTAAAAGAGAGTGAACAAATAGTGATGAAAAGAAAACCTGATGATATGCTCAATTTTCCATCTGTATTTCCTTCTAGAAATCTTGAACTTACATGTTCTTCAGCTTCCTCATTTGAAGAATCTCATCTTTCAACAGCCATTTCCACCCAGAATTACTAGTGTTTCATGTACCATCTAGGGTGCTTTGTCTCATGTTTTCAAAACCAGATGCAAAGTATAAATCTCTGGCACCTCATATTTTTAAATCACTGTATCTGCTTCCCTGCCCATTGTATAGTGTTTGAAAAAAAACTCAGCAATTTCTCTATTGTGGAAAAACACTTCAGTCTCTGCTGAAATCCTCCAGGTTTGCTGATGTTCTGCTCAGCCTTACTGTCTTTTACTATCCTGTGTGATACTTGGATGATAGCCAGGCACATATAAATCGCTCCCACTCATGCTCTTTCTGGCAGTTTTATGTGCCTTTAACTACTTTCTAGCAGATATTTTAAGCAGCAATTTATTCCTATCACAGTTTTTTTGCCCTCTTACTTGTTTTCCCTTTTTAAAACATATCTTTTTGCCTAGAATTTGCTTAGTGTTTTGGGATCTCTGTGGATTGACGGGGCATAGACTACGACAGCAAAATTGAGGCTTTCTCATTATACTTGTAGAAGGGAGCAGAAGACCATAGGGCAGACTCCTACTGTGCAATTTCAAGATGTGCTATGGCAAGGGGCAGAGAGTGGGCAGGACTTCAAAGCTGGAGGTACCCATCTTCCCTTCAAGACAGCTCTCTCAGTATATTGGAGTCAGCAGAGAAAGGAGGCTTCCCATGCCAGATAAGAGGGGTGATACAGATTACTCCTTGAGTGGAAACTGCAAGAAGCCAGAGACTGAATCTGTGGTGCTCCTAGAAATATTTCATTCTTGATTTTCTTCTGAATACCATAAATGTACACCAAATAGAATCTAAATTTTGGACAAATCCATAACCTAGCCTCTGTTAGATATCCTGACTTTTCATTATACTTTCTTGTAAAGATTAAAAGAAAGAGCAGGAAAAGGAAAAAAAAAAGAGTAATTAAATAGTTTAAGGAGCTTCTGTCTCAAGGCAGAAGAAAATGAGCATTACGGATTCAGGCTTAACCTTCCCCTGCAGCACCCCAGTTGGAAAATTAGCTTTAACCCATCTTAGAAGAGTTTCTTGTCTTGCTGTGAGTCATGTCATTCAAATGGCAGTCCTAGTGAATGCTGTCATTGACAAGGTGAGAGCATAAAACTGAACCATGCCCCACTTCCAGCCCTTGCCACAGACCCCAGCTTCTATACACTCACAGTAGCAAAAATATCTGTGGGCATTTTGTGGCCTGAGTTGGTAATTGGGCCCAAATGTAACAAAAAGCATCAGTCAGTCCTAGCTTAGAATGGATTAGATCACTGCAACTAGAGCAGATACTAGAACATACTGATATTATTAAGGCATATAAGCATGTTAGAAGTTTATCATGTTGAAGCAAAAAAAAAAAAAAATATGTCCAGAATAATAACAAAAAACCCTCACAGAAACTCAGTTATGGGACTTGGTTCTCTATCACAGCACATCTCTTTAAATGTTCATTTGTCATGTGTTCATCCAGGTATAAAATGAGTCTCAAAGCACATACCAGAGGTGAGTATTAACAGGCCTGTCCTCAACCAACTCTGACCTGTTGCATTAATTTTCTGATGATGTTTGCTGAACTGTGAATCTGTGGTGTCTTCATAGAGGTTGTTCGGATCCTCATTAAGAAAACTGTCATTTTAATATTGTATTTGTATCTCATGGTTTGTTGCAATTTTCTTACTTGCTGCTACTAAACGAATCTTTCCTTTTCCTTCCTAGGTTACACAAATGGACCAGAAACTGAACCTCATTACAGATATGCTGCATCATCTGATTTCCTGTCAGCAAGGGGACCAAGGAAACAACAGAACATCTCAGAGAGGCAACAATGTCAATTCAGATCTTTTCCTCCCTAATAACACCCTGCCAACCTACGATCAACTGACGGTACCGAGGGAAAATGAAGATGATATATCCTGATGCAGTATAAGTCTGGGGTGGGTTCTTCCCACCTTTCTCCTTTAAATGGGACTGAATGTTGACAACCTGGAAGGAATTAGGTTTATCAGCCATTTGAGAAAACACACAACTACTGTATCTATACCACTAGTCTCAAATACCCTCTTCTAAAGCCACTCATAATAGTGAAAGGATTGCCAGGCTGTCTTCTACCAGGCAAAACTTACTGAAACTCCACATTTATTTTGTTCATGAACAAATGATCACAGCTCATTATTTCTTAGAAAGAAAAAAAAAAAAAAAAAAAAAAACCACCACCAAAAAAAACAACCAAAAAACCAGGCCAAATGACAAGGATTATCTTTAATAATAATAATAGTGATAATGGTATTCTAATAATACTTGAACTTAGATGGAAAAAGTGCATTCTGTTTATGAATCTGCAAATAGCAATATATTTCTACTAATGTTTTTTGAACAAACTACGGTAACTTATGTTGGTTTTATTGTAGAAATGTACACTAACATTCTAGAGAATGAGAAACCACATACTGAATGATTTTCTTTTTCTGTTTTATTTTAACATTGCTACATAAACAGTTATCAGATAATGACCAGATTTTTTAAATCTGTTTTTCTTCAGGGAGGAACTAATCCTTAATCTGGAACAATACTATTTATAGTGGAAAGAGCTATAGATTTTTTAAGATACCAGTTTTTCATGGGGAGACGATAAAGTATTACATAGAAAAAAAATCTTTCTGCTCTCTAGAAAATTGTTGCCAAAGGATTTATATATAAATAAATAACACAGTGGTCTGAATGTACTTGTCCTGAAATAGCTTCTTAAAAAGAAGGCTACTACTTCTTCAATCTACTGGGTTTTAGCTTACAGTCACAAAGAATAGTACAAGAAACTTAAGTGACTGGACTTTGCCAGTCAAGTGCTTGGGCTGGCCACTTACTGAGCATCCATAATCCTCTCAGGAATCAAGGCCCCAGTTCAGGAAAGCATCTTTCACCCAGACGGCATCTATGATAATTTGAACAGTTTCCTGAATAATGTCTTGAGAAATTCATCTCCCTACAAGAGTCATTTGGTATTGAAGAGTGCCAGCTCTAACTCAGAGGACCAAGAGCCCCAGCTACAACCCACAGGGCTGAACCACATTAACCTACATGATAGTTAAAATAAAGTCAGCAGTGTTTGGGTCAATGTGATATTTCACATACATAATGTGCAGGATTTGGGATTTTATTACAAAGGTTGAAATCCAGCCCTTGCAAATAGTCAGCACCAGTATCCTATCAGCCCTGCTTTGAATGTGGAACATCCTTAAAGCTGACAAAGTATCAGGAAAATGTTTAGTCTAGTGTGGTGGTGGAAGTAGCCCATACTGCTGGTGAAAGAGGGAGATGTAAACAGATTTATCAGCTCTTGCACTTTGAGCATCATATGCATCCAGTGCACCCTATTCCCCTCACTGCAGAGCCTTTACCCCACAGCAATCTCTCTCCCTCTCCTGGAAAAATTACACCCTAAAGCCTCATAATTTTGCACAGCAGTTAACATCACCTGTCTTTAGTATCTTTGAGCAGTCTGAAATACTGATATGTAATGAACTGGGACAGCAGGGAACCTTCTCATTCTGCTGCTCATATTCTGGGCTTTCTTCTCAAGATTTAATCTCTTTCCCTTGGACTGCAGAGGAAAGTATACTGCATTTAACTTTACAGATTATGTTATAATTATCCAGCCTCACTGCTGTACAGCAGGTAAATGTTAAGGGTGTAGAAATTTACAGGCATAAACAGGAATTGTATCTGGGCATTATGTTTTATAAAAATCAAAATTATTCTCATGATTTTGAAAATTTTTTAAATGAGATTCACTGTAATTTCATGTTTTCAATCAGCCTGTTAATTTCATAATAAAATACGGGACAAAAGTGCCATGTCTTTTGGTTATTCTAAAATCCAGACACTTGATACACACAGAAAAGCTGATGTCTTTGCATTTCTAGGGGTGCTGTGTTAACCAGAAAATGCATCCATTCCTGTCTGCTTCTTCTCAAGACAATACCTACATTTTCTGTTTGGCAGCTAACCTCGGTAATAACAGACAGGCTGAGTAAATGTTTCATGCAAAAAGTAATTTCACTTTCTGGATGTGTCACTTGGTCTATACCCATCTGGAAAGCACTGTTACCAGCATCCTGGTATATCCAGGTTTAACCAGATTTTACAGATTCTCAATGCTGGAAGTCTCGTCATGAAGTCAGTGATTCTCACCTGGGCCCAGCTGATCGTTTCAGAAATAGCACTAGCTCTGAGACTTGTTACTTCAACTCTGACAATCCACCTCACCCAAAGAAAAAGAAGATGATCCATTTTCCCATCTGAAGAGGAATGTCATAAAATGAGCCACCCAATTTTGCCATGCAGCTGACTGGAGCTAGCCATCCCCAAGTGCTCACCAGAGATAGGTCTGACCTCTCTGCCTGGAGGGCTGGACTGGACTTATCTTTCCTGCTGAGATTTCATACCTCAATGACTTCTCCTGGAAGTAAGTACCTCAGCATCTTTCTTTCACAGAGCATTGTGGAACAGCAACATCAGGAAGATGAGCTGAACAGTTTTACACTGGACCAGCCTGAAGTAAGCAGCATGCAATGAGTATGTGTTTCTGCTGAAACCTTATCTGCTGGTGTCTGCTCTTCATCCAAACGGTCCAGACAGGGTTTCTTCAAGGAAAATGTTTGTAAATAGCTTGAAGGGGAGCAAAGAAACTTTAAGATAGGCAAAGCCTTGACTTCATAATTTTCTACCCTGTTTTTGTAAACTGTTAAAATAAGGTGTCTGACACTGCAGAAACGAGACACTTAGAGCAGCTGAATAGCAGTTTGCATTTCAAGAATGGTGTGAGCTGTGCCTGGATCCCCATCCCTGCCTAAAAACAATAAAGGTCAGCTAAAAAAAAGTGGTCTAAAAAACTGTGAGCAGCCTCAGCTTCCCCAGCCTCTGGGTGCTACGCCAGATATGGAAGGTAGGAAGCCAGTAAATAGGAGAGGAGGAGAAACATGGGCTGCCCAGCTGAAGGTGGTGAGGAAAGCTCACTCCATGGCAGCCAACCATGAAAGTCTGCAAAAAAAAAAGATTAATGGGGAGACAGGGGGAGATGTGTGCAAGAGGGGAGGTTTAGGAGATGAGCAAAAGTGTGGGCTCCTGGAAAGGGACTGTGCTAGGATTCACGAGACAGAAGCACAGTGCCTGGCATTAGCATTAAGCTACAGTTTGACCTCAGGGAGGGTCATTTCACCTGTTTGGCTGCATCTGCTGCCTGCTCGCTTCCACTCAGTCTACTTGTCTATCTAGACCGCAAATTCCCTGGGACAGGGAAGGCCTCTTTCTGTATGTTAGCTCAGTACCTATCACAAACGGACCTTCAGTCTGGGACTTGAGGTACCACTCTCATATAAATAATTACTCAGGAGGTAAAAGCCACCCAGGGCCCCCGCTATATTCAAAACCTTTACTATTCTGAGCCCAAGGAGTTTCAGAGTTTCAAGTGTGCCTGATGCCGAGCTGACAATTAGAGGATGTCAAAGGTTTAGATCCCCTTTGACATAGTATGTTACAGAACACCAGAAGTCTGGCCATCACTCATTTTCACCATTTTATATTAAAGGAGGTTGATTTCAAATAATGCAATGGGCCAGAGCTATGCTTAAATACTAGCTGAGGCAGAAATCTTTGGATGTCAGTGGATTAAATAGCCATCTTACTGCAGCAAGTTAAGGGCTGTTGTTAACTAGCAGACACTTCTGGACTGATATATAACCCATCAGTTCTGAGGAAGGTGAAGTCGGTGAGGGGGCTGAACTGAAAAGGTCTGGGCAAGAAACAAATTGCCTTTTGAAATATAAAAAAGGAAAATACAGGAAGATTTTCTGTTCTGGGAGTTTAAAGGAGAAAAGGTAAAAACAATTTTAAGCTAATCCTTGTGTACCCTGCTGAGCTGGATGTTACTGTTCTCATTTTACTGATGGGGTGGGGGCTTGGGAAGAGAAGGGGCATTGAGAAGAAAAAGAAAAAGATTAAAAGTATGATGCAAGTCTCATTTATGTTGTACTCCTGTGAAAATGTATTTGTGTGCTTATTTATGTGCAGGAGTTGGTCTATTGCTTGCGATGGGACTACTCTGTGCATGTGGGTCAGTGTAAGGGTTTGCAAGTTCAAAATGTATAGTAAAGACATTGTTCCATGGTCCTTCAGTGAAAGCTGAGCTCAGTTGTGTATGCAGCATTGCTTTCCTTGTGGTCAGACAGCCATGTGGATTCACAAGTTTCTGTTTCCCATTTCTGTTTTCAAATCACTGGTTTATAATAATACTCTTGCATGCCTTTTGCATTTTCAAGCTGCAACAATCAGAGGTATTTCTTTTCACTTCAGCAATACGAATTTCTTTACCTACCACACTTGAACACATGCAATATAATGTTTCTTCACACTGAGGAAAGGCTTTCTAAATGCCCTCCAATTTCGTTTAAAAACGAGCCTGTGTATTATTTTGTACCCTGGTCTTCCTGAGTAGCAGCAGCTGTGATGAAAGTGCATGAAAGGCAGTGAGCTGTTAACACCAGTGCCATGTGGAGGTGATGCTTAGCTATGTCCTCAGAAGGATGCAATAACCAGAAGTGGTTCAGTTCAAATGGAAAACAGCAAGTAATTTTGTGAATGCTGGCTTTTTTTGTTTTGTCCATGGGCTGACTATAATTTCTAAGAAGTGCAAGTTTCAGTTGAAGCTTTTGGGTTTTTTTGTGGCTATGACATAGAGCAGGTTTGTTTTCTTTGTTATTCCCCTTGTGCCCACTGAGATAAGCATGAGCACTCAGCCCTTCCTTGGCGAGGAAGTTGATACCAGGCCCCTCTCTCTTCCACCTCAGTGCCTATTTTCACAGAATTTATAAGAACTGAATTATTTTGTAGAGATCTATCCTGTCAAGTTGAACAAGGCCAACAGGTTCAAAAGTTATTAGGGGGAGGCAAAACAAACACAGCATGGGTGCATTAACCTTGTTTCTACAGGAACTTTGTTGAAAGTCCTCACTTCCCCCCCTCCCCAAGCCCAGAAGTCTGGAAGAGATGTAACGCCTCACCTGGGAGCAGAAAACAGCCTCTAACTCCTGGAGTGAAGAGGAGACTTGCAGAAAGCATATTCCTGGGAGATGATGGTTCCTGCAAGGCTTGGTGCACATTGCCTTTAGATCAGCTATTAAAAGAAGCTATAAAATAGAATTTTTCTTATATTGCTTC